CTTTCCCATCCCTGCCTTTTTGAAATATCGTTTATTCTCGATGGCTCGATTATTTGAAAAATGATTGCTCAAGGATTCACTGGCCATCGTTAACTCATTTAAATTCTTATGTAATGTCTCTTGCAGTCGCTGATGCAGAAAAACTGACGGTCCGCGTGAGAGTCACAATCCTGGGGATCACGGTAACTTATCCGTACCCTTACCCGAATGCATGCGAGTCTCTGATGAATAGCAAATGCCCTTTGAGCAAAGGCGACAATGCAACGTACAGTCTCCTCATGCCGATATCTAAGGGTTATCCGTCTGTTCAATTGACCATCGAGTTCTCCCTGAACGACGAAAAGAACAACTCGCAAGTATGCTTCAAGTTGGATGGCCAGGTGACTGACCCATAAATAAAATAAAAGGCTCCCGTATATCACGACCTCAATAGCTTCAATCAATTTAACTCTTCTTCTATTAGTATATTACCCGAATATTCTTTATTCTTTGATATAAATTGTTAAATTTTTGAACAATATTGTAACAGATCAGTGATGTAATAAATAAAATTAAATAAATTTGTGGATCAAATTTTCATCAATGTTATATTATTGTTTTTTTTTTTCGAAATGAATGTTATATACGAAAATAATGCGTGACAGAAAACATGTGCAACTTCATTATTTAATAGAATCGAAACTTTAATCACGAGCTTCATAATTAATTTAAATAATAATTAAAATTCCCCTCCAGCACGAAAGATTGCAGCAATATTTTAATAGTGCGTAATATACGTAATATACATTTAATTACAAAACTTGCAGCAATATTGTGCAATATTGAAATTTTAATATTGTATTGGAAATATTGCAACAATATTGCAAAATATTGTAATTTTAATATTTTGTAGAAAATGTTGCAATATATTGTTGCAATATTACAATTCAATAAATAAATACGCGGCCCTGTCACGAGAAGGATACGTTTCTCATAAGGAGAATATGTCCAGGTAGTCCTATAAGGACAATCGAGTTAGCGAGTTAGTTCTCCTAAACATTCCCAATCTTTTTTGAGGCGTGTTCGGATTCCTATACTCGGGTATTCCTTCGGGTGTCATGCCATTCTTGTTTAACATTCGGTAAATAACAAGGACGGAGAGATACTTAGCACTCGGATGGGAAGTAGCCTTGGATGTGTTTTCTAGGCCTCTGAATATTTTTTTATTATAACTCTATCGTATGTGTTTTGAAATATGATGCTAAACAATAATATGTTAGCAATTAATAAAACTAAAATAATTATTAAAATATTGCATAATGTTATAGCAATATGTATGCAATATTTTATTTTTGCGGACATTGTTGTACAATATTGCAATCTTTCAAAATATAATATTGCTGCAATATTTTGTGTTGTAGGGATTATAACGTTTTATAATAGTAATACCTTTATAGAATACGTGTTCCTTTCGTAAATTATAAAATTGATAGGTCAATTTTGTTTGAATATCGTATAAATAAGTAGCTATTTAATATTACGAAAAGCGCTTGAAGTGAGAAAATGGCTTCGATTATCTTTCCAGGAAATGATTGATAAAAAGGTTTTATATGATTTTGCACGGTCCGGTATTACATCTCGATCCATTATTCCGACATCAATCAATCATATACCACGGGTATAAAGCAATGTATATTAAATGTAGCATAATTAGACCTCTCTTATCATGCTGTAGTTTTTTGTGAGAAGAGATTGAAACTTTTCTTTTTAATATATTATTTACATGTATTCCACACATGCGCTTGAATTTATTAACATTACGTCGTAATAAGCGTGGGCCGCGGCTGCACGCTACGTCTATGGGCGCGAGAGGTGATGTTAGAAAGAAGGAAGCACAGTTTCTCCTCGTACAGGAAAGAGAGAAAGAGAAAGAGAAAGAGAGCGAGACGAAACGGGGAAAGATACAATACGTATCATACACATGTTGCGCGGCGCGGCGCGGACGCGTCGACGTCTCGACGTCCGCGACGTCATAGGTGCGGCACTCGGCAGTTGCGGCAAGATGGCGGATGCGAGGGAAAATTAGCGGCGGGACGGGAGATGAAACGTCGCGTCAAAGTTGAGTTAGTCGAGTATCGAGTGAGAAAGGGATTTCGTGGTGTGGCGCGGTGCGCGGCGCGAGACGGCCGGTTTATCGTTCGTTGATCGTTTTGATCACGCCGTCTCCTCGTGAGAACGTAAAGAAGTTTTATTTTACGGCGTTACGCCGTTATTATACTGCGACCGACGCGACGACGGCGACGGCGGCGACGACGACG